TTTTTCTTGCAATCTGATTGGCCAATTTGCTAAAATTCATTATATAATTGGTTGACAATCATGTGTAACTATACCCGGATCATTTTCATATTCGGGACGGTTTCCATTTGCAGATCATCGACGGGATACTACAAAAAAGAATCAAGCAGGTTTAAAACTTGTTTTTTTGATAATTAGTTTATCCATAAAAAAAGCTTGGACTCTGGGTTTCAGGTATTGCAACTAGTGGGCGGAACCCTTAAATAGATAATCTAAAGTTGTGACATCTGATTTGTTGTACTCTCGTCCCTGTATACGTAACAGTAGGTTACCTCTTTATGGCAACCACACATCAATAAAATCGGCCGGCAAAGAGTGCCACCTTAAAAAAAAAAAATAAAAAAAAGAAAATGCTTGGACTTTTCTAAATTCAGTATTAAACTGATAGATTATGGAACGTCAAGAAAACATGATTTTTTTTGGACCCTCCGGACAGGGCAAATCTACTGTTGCTAATATGTTGCTTAAAGACGATCTTTATGGAAAGAAATCACCCATGACCGAGGACACTATAGTTAAATTATCTTCCAATTTAGCATATGGCCGCAATAAAAATTTTAAAGTATTCATTATAGCTGAATTAGGGATTTTTGAACGTAAGAAGGCCATCCAAAATATTAGAGATTATTTTTCTAAAAATCAGGTATTGTTCAACTATATATGCTACGTTAAAAAGAAGGGCAGATTTATTGATGATGATAGTAAAAAGTTTAATGAATTTAAAGATATGTTTAATGATGGTGATAGTAATATTATTATCATAATTACCCATTGTAAGCAAAAATGGGTTAATGAAAACTTAAAAACAATAAGAGATTATTTTGGAGATTATCCTGTGATTGGAGTCGATTTTCCTTCTGAAGATGAAGATGAAGGTGGTAGCAATAATACTTATAAACAACGACAGAAGGAACAAAGAGTACAAAGTTTAAACTATTTATTAGGACGTCTTTCAGCCCTAAATTATAAAGGTATTGAACTAAAATTTCTTGACTCGCAAAAAAAAAAAATAATAATGTAGTGCAATACATCATCGGTGTGGCATGTTTCCTGGGTTTTTGCGCTGCCTATTACATGATACGTAAGTAGGATTCATAAATAGTACGGTTTAACTAAAAATATACATGACAAATATATAAGATTAGAATTTATCACATATATTTAGAGAATAGATAGATACACGTAAAGGTGATATTTATTGACTAATAAACCTGAACTTATTAAAAAATCCACAAGGTATAAGTCCAAGCTTTAAATTTACAGTTGACAATCCTAAACACACTATAAGAACCAACGAATTTTAATATCATCGTTCTTTTATTTTATTTTTTTTTTGTCGTTGGGTTGTTTGTTATATCATAATCATCATCATCGTCTAAACCTGTCTTGGAGCATTAATAAAAAATGTCGGGAAAACAATTTTACATATAAGAAATACCCGGCCCTAACCACTAATTAACCCTTACCATAATTTTAATTAAATAATCAAAAACATATAAACAAACCTTGCTTTAGCCATCCCCCTCTTTTAACGTTAAAAATTAATCCATGTTCCAAAACTGGTTTAATTCTGGTCGAATCTGCAGATCAGTCAAATTAGCCAAAATTTGTTATAAAATGGATCACATGCCTTTGTAGCATGAGGGAAATTCATTTTAATTGGCTGTAATCAGAAAGATCGACGATGATTGATAGCTTATTCTGATTGGCTAATATCGTTATATTGATGTTATTTTTTAAATTTTGTGGTTATATTCAATTCATTCTTTATTCATCAGTTGATTTAAAATTCGTTAATTGAAACGAAGACATAATATTGCGAATTACAAAAGCAACAGTAGTCTAAAACTAAAGTTAATGTTATTAGCTTTATTTTATCGGATCACATCACTAAGATATTAATCTTGTTTTGCATATATTTGCCCTTGTTTTTGACTGTAGATTTCGTTCATCCTATTAATAATTAATATCAATACTCGTCTATAATAAATTTGAAAACTTAAAAAAAAAAGATTTACATTTTCGCATTTTCCAATTCTGCACACAATTTGCTACATGTTGCTTGTAAACAATTAAACTTTTTTGTAAGATGTTTCAACATTTTTTCTTTGATTTGTATATGAGAGATAGCTAATAAAAAGCTTGGGTCAGTATATGAAATAGACCTTAATAATTGCAGGTAACTATAAAAAAAGTGTATCACCTTTTTTTAATAAATTAGCTTTACTCGCTTTATACTTATAGTAAGTGGTCGGGAGTTGAACTTTGAGCTGTTCTTGGAGCAAATCCAAACCATCTTTAATACCTTTCCGCCTTTCTCTCTCCTAATTTTTCTCTTTTCTTCCAGATCTTGATTAATTTGTCTTTTACGCGTGAGCGTAAAAGGTCTAAATTTTGTAGTGGCAGCATTATGCTTAGATAGATATAATTTTCTTTAGCACTCATTTGAAAGAGAGTAAATAATACCTGTCATCATTAAGGACACTAATGTCAATGAAAAAAAATATATTAGAGTATATTTCAAATAGTTATTAGATGAATTTGAAAGCATTTATGCCTGTTAGAGTTATCATCTACATATTGAAAAATCATATTTAACATTACCAAGATTAGTAATAATAAGTTATATTAAGCAGTTGTATATAACTAACATTAAAAGTTCATACTTGCTCGGAGCATCGATTGTTGTAACATTATTTTCGATCGGTCTTGTTATAAAAAGGAAGATGAAAATTATTAAGGTTTTTTTTTTATAATTTAAAAAAATTGGCGAAGGATTATTTATTCATGCCTATAATCATATAGAATAAAATCTTTAACGACCGAATTGAAATCGTTTACACTGGTCACTAAATTTATTACATGAACATTAATTTATTATATTTGATTGTCGCCAATGTAAAACCTATCATCAAGCTTTCAAATATATTTTGTACAGGACACATTCCTAATAATTTATGTCTGAAAAATATACCTGATGATATGTTTTCCCTTGGTAGCACTCATTAAAAAACTGTATGCAAAAATAATTTCTTTACCTTGGCCTGCATCTAAATTTTGTTGAATGTTTTCGATCGGTCTTGTCATAAGGAGATGAAAATTATTAAAGGTTTTTTTTTATAATTTAGAACAAACAATAAGAAGTATTCATGCCTATTATCACTGTATCAAAATCGACCGAATTGAAGTTTATATTGTAAATGGTGAAACCATATATCATGTTCAAATTACAGTATTTTGAGGATTTATACCTTTTCAAAAATTGATAATTCAGAGCATCATTAACTGATATATCTAGTGTAGGGAAGAATACGTTAACTTATTGATATTCAGGATTAAACGCGTTCAAGTCCATCACATAAGTCACGTTAATAGAAATAAAAAAATCATCATATTTTATATTCTTACTTGGGTTTGAAACAATAAATTGAATGAGAGCATTCTTCATTATGCCTTCAAAATAAACTTGATTGTTTACTGTTTCATTTTTACAAATTTTGCATTAGTTTATGGAATTTTTAAACATAATATAAAATTATTCATGATAAATACCGAAACTCATTATAACCGCAATTCTAATCTTATCATTAATAAGTTTAAAATCATGAGTTTTATAAGCTAAATAATCTGCGAAAAGATTCTATGATCCGATTTTCTAATTAAATTCTATCGCGTTTTCTCTAAAAAAAATATTATCTAGGTATTCAGAAAATGGTCTTTCTTGCTGCTGTAAGTAAAAATGAAGAAGCAAAAGATGACGGTGTCAATTTAAGAAATTTCTGTTCAATGATTTCTCGTGCAAACAAGATAAATGTGTATAGAATCCATGTAAATAGATTTTCAACAATTATTTCATTTAAATTATATAATATAAAAAGATAGTATTATAGGAAAACAATCTATTCCTATATGCGAAAATCCAAACTAAAAAAAAAAAACGGTTCAAAATATATACGATCTGCAAATGTATAATTATATAGTTTACTATAAACTGCTAATGGCATGTTTTCCTCGGTATTATATATATGCTATTTAATAGAAACATATTAGGTCAGGATTCATTTTATCTCTGACTTGTAAAAAATGAATCAAGAAGATTTTAAACGAGCTATGTGGCTTCATTTATTCAAAGTATACCTGACTTTCGGATGTCTTGTTTCGGAACTTTGTATATTATTAACGTATGTTTACTTTTATTTTTATTTTTAAATCATGTGTCCAGTTTAATCTTCATAATGTATTACACGTATATTTATGTCGGCCATTATGTTATAGCTGGATCCATATTTTCTTGCATTTTTAGGTATTGGTTATCCCAGAACAACGTTTAATTGGACCTTAGATTGAAATTGCCGTTATGTTAATTCTTTTTGGGACTTTATTTTTGTCTTGCCAAAAACAATGCTAGTTTTTTTTAACCATTACGTGTAGCTAAAACGTCATCAAAATAATCTTTTACTTTTTTGTTTTTACGCGCTATTATCTTTATGCATCAATATGATAATCGTGGATCTTGGATTCTTTTTAAGATTTGCGATAACAATGTGGAATTGGTATTCATTAGTTAACACTGGGTTGTTTTCTTATTTGAATCTCCGGCGGTATAACGATATAAAAATATACTTTGAATTTTAAAGCTTTTTACAATATGTATTATCTTTTTATTCGCCTCACGAAGCGAAAAATTATTATGAGAATGTTTTACACAACTAGGGTGCGAACTAAAACTTTAGCTTATTGTAAAGCTGCTAGTTAACTAAACCTTTTTTTATAAATTTCGACTAGTATAGTTTCGGATTACACAACATATTTAAAAAATAAAGCATTATGGATATTATGTTTTTTTTTTTTTATATTGATTTAGGGAGCGCCTATTTCCACCATAGAAATTTACTATTTCCACCATGGCTTTCACATGACTTAGCTCAGTATTGTCACTTAACTATTTGGCCAGCCAATGGCCAAATTGGCCAAAAAAATTACTTGGCTGAAATGGCCAAGTATTATATATATAAGCTGGTAATATGATTGTCAATATTATATTAGTTAGAAACTTTTGGCCGAAGTTTGGCTATTGGCCATTGGCCGTTGGATAATTTGGCCGGCCAAAGACCAGGAAAATCATTTGGCCCCAACTAATTGCCAACACTGACTTGGCTATATGTACATGACGAACTTTGATATAATAAATTACGGCTAATGGTGGAAATAGTAAATTTCCATGGTGGAAATAGGCGTTCTCTTGATTTAATACATGACTAAGAATATTAACCAACGTAATTTTAAGAAACTATCAAGATCATAAGATATATCAGTTTACATCATTATTAAATTTTTAATCAAAGAAGCTCAACAATTTATCATGAGATCATAATCAAATAGTAAAGTATAAATAATTTCATCATTGAACGATAACATATTGATTTTTCACCTTTTATCTTTTACTATAGATTCCTAGAATTCAAATATAAAAGGTTTCATTGAATTTGGATAAATGAATGTTGAGATATCTTCGTTTAAAGTTAGAGGAAAATCAAAACGTTTAACAAATTAAGAGCTGTGCCAATTTTTTTTTCTCTAACTTTGAGTGTGGATATTTCAACAACCAATTGACCAAATTCGATGAAAATTTTTTTATCTAATTCTATGAATCATATAATTCGAATAAAAAGATTTTCATAGAATTTCGTCAAGTAGTAGTCGAGATATCTTCGCTCAAAGTTAGAGAAAAAAAATTGACACAGCTACTAATTTGTCAAATGTTTTGATTTTTCTTTAATTTTGAGCGACAACCGCTTAATCAAATTCGATAAAAATTTTTTTATTCAAATTCTATGATTCCATATTATTCGAATAACAAAGATATGATTTTATGTTTCATGTTTCTTAGTTTATTTTACAATTGGATAATTTAAATTTAGTTTTATTAATTGAAAAAGTATTAATTCATACTTTACTAATATATTTTTTATAAATACTATTCTGTCAAAACAATTGAAAAATGGTATTCATAAATGAAATATAAAATTAATTATTTTTTTGAAAAAAAAAATCCCGAGACAATTGATATGGTCATCTGTGATTTTTTAATCGGTCCCTAGTAATGTCAGCCAACTTTGTGCAAGATCTGTAAAAAATTGGCAGTATTCATCCAACTATTTAATCAAATTTGTTAAAATTTTTTTTATTTTAATCTTGAAATTATATAGAATTAAACTAAAAAAAAATTATTAAATTTGATTAGATAATTTCTAAGATATTTAAGCTTAAAGTCAAGAAAACTTTTACTTTGAAAAAATTTGTCCCTTTTCTATTTTTCTATCGACTCCCCCATATAAATTTGTAATATTGTATTTTTATCGTTATAAAAAATCTATAAATAAAATTTTCGGAAGTTGTTCAGTTGCATTAATTGCTATTAAACAGCGTGAATTCATATTTCAATTGACATTTTCTATTATTTTACTAATAATTAATATATACAATATTTGATTTCAAATTTCACTAATTTTTAAAAATTTTATAAAAATGGGTCAGAACTAAGAAAGTCTAAAGTTTAGAAATATTAGCACAATATCAATCAAATGTGAGGGACCAACATGAGGTTGATTCCAACGTGAGGTGAATTAGTATTTAAAGTCCGCCAATGATTAGTAATCATAAAAAATA